GTAATCACACTACAGCTACAGTATAATAAATCATTTAGAGCAGCTGCATCGAATATTTGATGAATTCTTTGTTCGTTTTTTTTGTAGTATTACAGTTTTCGTGAACAAATATAGTAACTGCTAACTCAGGTTCACTTGTGTGATGACTTGCATTATTCTTAATTGTTAAACTGTATTGTTTTTAGGTTTTGAACTAGCTGGGTATCATTTGGGCAAAGAAACGTGTCCGTATCTTTCACTTTCCTGAATAATGATCCTACATCACTATTCGGTGACTCTAAGCTGGCTGTCTTAAAAGTCTCTGATGATCCATGTCTATCATCCAAGTAACAGGAAATAGGATGTTAATGACCATAACAATTTTAAAGGCTAATTTTAAAGATCTGTAGTTTCGTTTCGATTTATATTTTGTACTTTAGGCCAATCGAATCAGTGTGTTTTTCAAAGACGTACTGTATTAGAAATGCAACATGACTTCCTGTTTTTCCTGCTATTTAACAAGAGTAACACTTAAATATTAGTGGTAACGTACACACACACACACACACACACACACACACAAATATGCACAGTGTTGATCTTACACAGGCAGATGCTGCAGCCCACCAATGCCACACAGTGTGGTTATGGATACAAAGTAACAGATGAATGAGGAACAGAAGGGTCCACACAAACACACACTTTCAGAGTGGAAAAAGAAGCAGTTTATAGCTGACTCATTAACATCCCGCCTGTTCGTTTGAGCTTATCGGCATGACAGAAAATGTTGGGGAAGAAAACAACACGGTGACTTTACTAGGCTGTGTGCACGACTGTGTGCACGAGAGAGCTCTTCCATTTAGTATCTCCCTGCAGCCTCTGTGCACACACATTAGTACTGCACATCTTACTAAGCAGATTTCAGATGATGCTCCCATCTCTTCTTCTGCACTCTCATTACACAGCACCACTCACACAGATGAAATAACCATGCACACGTGCATGCGCACGCACGCACGCACGCAGGCACACACACACACACACACACACACATACTGGAGCAGCCCGGAGCTGTACTGAAAGTTTCACTCCCTTACAGTTAGAAAGCGGTTCTTCATCACTATCACTTCTCTCTCTGTCCTTCCGCTTCTGCAAAAAAACTTGATAAATGACTAAAACTACTAACAGTCCAGCCTGCTTCTATAGTCTTAACAGATTTCCAGCAAGTCTGGATGCTTTGTGAATACAAATGTGGGCTAAATATGCAATTAGGTTAGGTACTATTCAACCTACAACAGCAGCTGAGCTTTCTTCTGTACACACTAACCCTCTAACCCACTAACACTCATTTATTCATTTATATTCTGATTTATATCTAAATATTGCCATGTTTACAATACATATATGGATTATGAGAAGAAAGAAATTTAAAAAAACACCTTAAAACTCAGACTTTTTGCTTTTTAGAGCTAACACATCCGTTACAATGTGACTTTCTGGTCACAAAACTACAGACAGGCAAGCTGCAACTACAGAATCCATGTGATGTTCACACTAAACCTCCCGCGTATGCGTATTTCCGTTGACACAGTGGTCAACATGTCCAGAGATCAGATATGACTCAGATGTAGGACTACATATGCACTTGGCCCAGATGTGATGTGAAAAAGGGTTTTTTAAGACTTCTGTGGGGAAAAAAAGGAAAAAACAATCTGAGTCATTCACACACCACTTTTAAAAAAATAAAAAAAGGGTTTGTGATCCATCTTCCAATGGATTCACACGAGCCGCTACATCCTCCATGCAGATTCTCAGACCACACCCGTCACCAAAAGCCCTGAACTGATACAACAACCTAAGAGCGAGCGTTTTATTACTCACCAGCTATTTAAGCTAACCTAAGATATACACACACACAGGCTCAACAAATACGAGCCTAATTCAAACTCAAAGACACGTGGCAGAAAATACTAAACAAATGTGACGATGACAGCCGATCATGTTTCTTTCTGAAAACTTTGTTTACACCAAGCAAGCGAACGTAAGACACATGCTGCCACCATCATGAGTCCTGGAGTGAAATCAGCTTCTATTTCTACCATGTGACCAAACTGCTAATGTGTTTTTGGATGTTTGAATGTAACCAATGTGTTTTGGAGCGACTCTTTCAGAAAACAGCTTGTTCGGTTTAGAAGTTTGGTTGTGGCAGCGCACACGCTCTTGTGTCACAACCACAGATGGGGAGACGGGGTGCATGCCTGCATCTGCCGCAGGAATGTATGGCATACATGAACATGGTTGGGCGGGGGGGGGCAACTGTAGAGTGGTGCATTATTGCTACAGACCTCCACTGTTTGACGCGAGGTGTGGTTGATGTAAACAAGAAAACAGAGAAGTGCTTGTTTGACGGAAGCTCTGCTGTAGAAGAAATAATCAGTTCTGCAGAAACACAGAGCGGCCTGCTATGGATAAACGAGGGATGGAATCATTTAATAAGTGAAACTGAAAAACAGTCTTGTTCAGAGATATGATATGAGTATGTATCACACCAAAACTAAGCCCAGTGGACTGAAATGTATGCAATATGTTAAAAACTACTTTCTATAAATGGTGCAAGCACAGCTAGACAATAGGAAGAGAGCGCCTTCACCATTTTTACCTCCACTTATTTCCAAACAAAGTGCAGCTGCTGGCAGAGCGAAGAGCAGCTTGAGTTATTGAATGAGTGGATACGAGGGGCCTTCACATTTTATTACTCAAGTCCAGTCAAAGTAAAATTACATCTGTTGCATTTAGTCACAATCAAATTCATCATTAATCATTGTTCTTAATAATCGAATGTAGACTCCTGATTTTCTTCTTATACTACTTAGTATTATACTACTTAATAATAAGAGCAATGTTCATATTAAAATTTAGTTTGCACACATGTTAGGGGAGGCTGTAGCTCAGGAGGTAGAGCGGTTCACCTACTGATCGGCAGCTTGGTGGTTCGATCCCTGGCTCCTCCAGTCTGCATGTTAAGTATCCTTGGGCAAAATGCTAACCCCAAGTTGCTCTCCAATGCATCCATCGGAGTGTGAATGTAGTTAGAAAAAGCTTAAAGAAAGTGAATGTGTTGTATAGAGTGCTTTGAGTACTCTGGAAGAGTAGAAAAGTGTGATATCAGTCCACAAATTATTTTTATCATAATCGTACAGCGACAGCAAAGTCAATGTCACATCTTTAATTTTACCTCCTATGGCGATCCTAATTGAAAACATTACCAAAGAATACAAGAAATGTACAGAAAGACACAGCAAGTGTTGCATTGGGTGTAAACGTAAAATTTAATTATGCTGGATTCAACATACATTAATACTTCACTGACCTAACTGGCTAATTTTGACATGTTGATAACATAGTAATTATGTTATCTAAGACATTAAAGAGAGATTGATGCTAACATTTAGCTTTCCAAAAGCTGAAACATCCATTGGCAAGTATAATTCTTAAAGCAGGCATATTTAACGTTTGCTACTCAGTGATAACAGCAGCCCCTGTAGCTTCAGCTGGTAATAAAAGGCCTCTGGACTTTGGAGTCTTTTAAGCTACAGTACTGAATTGTAGTGAAACAAATCATAGCAGCTGCTCGGGCAACGAACAATTCAATTCAGTTTCATTTATATAGTGCCAAATCAAAATACAAGTAACTTGAAGGCACTTTATATTGTGAGGTAAAGACCCCACAATAATTCTCAGAAAACCCCAACAATCAGACGACCCCACTATATGAAAGCAGTTGGAGACGGTGGGAAGGAAAAACTCCCCTTTAAAAGGAAGAAACATCCAGCAGACCAGGCTCACGGAGGGGCACCCATGAAACACAAAATCGTCATCTCGATATGGAATAGAATTTGTTGGTTTACTCTTCATCCACCTAACTTTAGGAACATTTTAGCCACAAACAGCCATAAGAGAAAAGTTGGCATCTATTGCAAGTTATTATGTAATCCTGCTCTTGCTTTGTGTCTAACCAGCAGCTAAACCACTTGATTTTGTGTCATGCAGGCATAATCTGCCGAGCTCTGCCCTCAGTGTCTCCTTAGAAATGTACTTTCCTGGAAAACTGTATACATTCTCCCAAGTTACATACAGACTGACGCTTTTGAGGGAAGGAGTGGGAACAAATGAGATGCTACTGGTGCTGTTACGAGTCAGCGAACTCAGAAATCATGCTGAGGCTGTTATTATTCCCAACATTAAGGTAAAACACTTACTTATTATAGCTTTAAATGTGTGAGCCCACACAATAATTAAGGAATATCCAAAAAGCTGAGGTTAGTGAGCTTACCAGAGGCCTAAAAATTAGCAGGGGCCCTAAAAGCATCCTTAAATCTCACTGTCCTAAAGTATCATTCATCACCAGAGGCACGGGATAAGAGAATTATTTGGCATTTAGCGCCTTCTGAAATACAGATTATCTGGTCATTTTAAAGAATGCTGACATTTTGCAGTGAGTCCCACTGTGGGCTCTGAGAGCACAGTGGGAGCAGGAAGGACGACTTGGAGTAGAAAACACAGTCATTTATCTTTTCTCCGCTGTCAAGTGGAGCATCACACTACAGTTTATTATGTTAGGCTAGTAATCATGTGAACATGATGTGGCTTAGGTTCCTCTGGTCAAAATTATACTGTTATACTACTTTATGGATTGTTACTTATACATTCAGTTATTTTAATATAAAGAGTTGAACAGAAAACAAGAACTTAATAAAGAGAAGTAAGGAAATTTTAAAAATGGCATGCTGTATAGTCAGATAACATGTTAAGTACCTCTGTCTCTGGGCTCTCAGGAGTTGTGTAGGCTTCTGTACCTGCACATGATTTCAGATACACGCCAGCAATGACAACCCGATCTCAGCATTCATCGTCATAATGACAGCTCTGTACCTGGCTGACTTTAATGAATGACACATCCTGGAAAACAAGAGTCTGCCACGCATCCTGCGGGCACATATATGAGAACTGTGGATTCTTACCATCTCCATCTTCAGTTTTCTTATCTTTTCGTCCAAACTCTTCATCCCGGTCTCTTTACCGGTGTCGTGCGCGAGGGCCAGCTTGGCGTCTGCCCGGAGAGAGGACGACTCTTCCCGCATCCACCTGAGCAAACCCTCGGGGGTCTTCCGGCCGATTTTCGCCTCTATGTCTTTGAGGTCTGGGATGCTCTCGCTGACAGTACCTTCGTCCATCGCCATGAGTGTTTTTACACCGATAAGATCCGCAGGACAAAGATTACGTCCTTCGGGTTCCTCGGAGATTGTTCCCTGTCAAGCTGCGAGAGTCACTTCCTATAGGCTTGTATGGCATCCTATGCGACTGCTGCTGAGTTGGACTGCGCCAGGGAAGGAAAACTGTTTGACAGTATCAACACAGCAGTGTGAGCTTATTCCAGCAGTATGATACAGAGAGAAATCCTCGATATGTGGGTTATTTTAACTCTGTCATCATGTTGTGTTAAATTAATGAAGCCTCTGTATCTAAACTGCTGATGGTCATCAAGTGAAAGCGGAGAAAAAAATCCAATTTGTTGCTTTCCCCTCCTTGATTGCTTCCTTTACAGCTGTAAATGCAGTCTGATCTCCGGAGTCCCGAGTCCTGAGCTGCAGCTCGGTGAGGCTGGTGTTTGGGATCTGTACGCTGAGCCACACTGCGCAGATTCCACCTGCATGATGACAGCGATCAGGAACCGCAGAGTGGGAGCGGAGACCCGATAGCGTCAAGTCACCAGCGATAACCCTCGGTAGCTTCCGGGAAAACTTTCAAAATACAATCTGTGTGAAAGCTCAGTACCGGAGAAAAAGGTGAACTACCAAAATAAAACGACAAGCACAAAGTAAAACAAAAACAACAAAAAAGTCATTTTATCCTCCTTTCTGCACAAAGACTTCTGTGAGTTTTATAATTAGAAGATAAGCTTGTTAATATTGATACTCCAATCAAGTTATATATGTGAACATCAACCAGTTATATGTGTGAACATCATGGAACAGAAACATATGTGAAATAATCTAAACATAGTCTATGAAAGGTGACCTTTGGGTGAAGATGTGATGTCTGTATCCATCTGTCTGTTGTCCACATTTATGCAGGCAAAAGGACAAAAGGACAAGATGAAGCTGTTATTTTTGCTTTTGCCTTTTTGTGAAAAACTTGATAGCTTTTCCTCCATGCAAAAATTAAGTGGGCATTAATAAACTATTGAAAAGGACATCTAAACATCTGAAATGCCCTAAAAAGACAAAAGCAGTGGGCCACCGACACATTACACCCAGGGAGCTGCTCAGTAATGGAAACGCATGGCATGATGCTCCCAGTGCTTAATTTTGTTTGGAACTCAGCAGTAGTGAGTCGGCAGAGGTTTAGCAACTTTTATAACTGTGAGCGTCGTCGACTCTGCTCCCTTGCTCTACGTGGTCTGCCACTTTATGGTTAAGTTGCTGTGGTTTCTAGATGTCTCCACATTGTAATAATACCACTCAGAGTTGATCATGGAATATCTAGGAGGGAAGAAATTTCACAAATGAACTTGTTGTAATGGCAGCATCCCGTTACAGCACCACACTGGAATTCAGTTAGCTCTTTAGAGCGACCCATTCTCTCACAAATGCTTGTAAAGACAGATTGCACGGCTTTCATAAAGCTAAGAACACCTGAATTCAAAGATTAAAAGATGTGGACTCATAGTTTTGTCCATTGTGCACTGAAAAGAAAAGCAAGGCCCTTTTTTGAACACAGCAGGTGATGAGTGACCTGTATGGAAGGCCCCAAGTGCCAAAATGAATAGAAAATGTAATTAATGATGCATTAATTAATTAAAATGGGAGCTAATTAAATATTTTTTAATGTTTTCATTTAAATTATTTAAATCAAAAATATTTGGTCAAATGTTTAATAATGTATTTGATAATTTATTTTAGAATTCGTGGTCCACCGTAACTTAGAAGCTTTTAACATGAGTCACCGCCCAAGAGAAGGAATGAAGAGTCTAATCAGTGTAATGAAATACAACAGATCTCTGTGGCAAAGGCCAGATTACTTTACTCTTAATATACTAAACACACACTTACTCATGCCCTGTGTCTCTATATGGCAACTTTCTCCCGGCCCACACAAACTCAGCCCAGGCAGATTTTTCCTTAACGGGCCTGGACCCCCTCATGTGGAACTGGAGCTCAGGTTAAAGCTTGTGGTTAAAAGACCAGTGGGTCAATGTTTTGGAACAAAGGAGATTAAATGCTGCTGTCAAGGACAATTCAATAACATCCACAGCAGACACAGGTTTTCCACCGAGTTTTTGTTTTCCTTATGGCTTTGGATGTATAACTGGATTTTTGTTTTCCAGGTGCTAACTAATAAAGATACATATCAAAAAAATGTAAGAAAGAAAGGAATGATTATAGTCATCCTTTTCAGTAATTGTTTTCTGCTATAACTGAAAATGCTGCATTCTTATTACAAATGTCTGTCACAACCAGAGACACCACAAAGACACATTCAGTGGCGTAATCTGCAGTCAGGAAGGGCCTCTGGAGAGCTGAAGAGATGCTTTTCACTGTGAACACTCGCTCGGGCTGCCAGGATGAAGCTGACTGTGAGTGGAAATACAGTTGCAGTGGACAGCAATGAAGTGAGATGCAAAGGCAGGGGTTTCCAAATATTAGCAGCTAGTGATTGTGCATGTCTGTCTCAGACGGACAAAATGGAAGACTCTACTTAGGGAAGGTAGGGGGGGCTAAATTTGTAGCAAATAAAAATGGGTTAATAGCTGGATTAAGGCTGCCTCATTCTTTCTGAAATGGCATGAAGATTAAGCTTGGATATAAGACTATGTCTACTTTTCATTATTTAAGCTATGTTGATTGTAACAGTGTCTAGAACCAGTATTTTGCACTGATTGTAATGGTTTAACAAAGGCTGAGGAGAGAGCGGCTTGGAGAGATCTCTGGTTTAATGACACTTTCCTGTGTATTCAGTCTCACATCTCATTGGAGGCTCCAAGCATCCTAACTCGACTGCAGTAATGAATTTAAAGACCCTTAATGAAAGGCTCCTGCTTGGTTTCTCATCTCCCCATTCATCTGCATTTAATCTGAAGCATAGAGGAATGGTTGCACACAACACTGCACCTGTAAACACAAATGTATACAGGTGCAGCTTTCACATAAAATGTTATATTCGAATGAATGTTGCTTTGTGCAAAAATGTGATGCTGTTTGTCAGGCTGAGTGTTGGTTTTGCATATGTCAGTCACAATACACTGTCTGTGCATGAGGTTAAGACTGGCATCAAAACAATTAAGGAGGTTAACAGGGTGTTAGTCTACAAGCAAAACATGTTGCATTAGAAACATCTATTATAATCTCAATTTAGGTGGGAGTAAACAACAAAAGCCAGACGGGTGATCTGGAGGGTCAGGTCACTGTTATAAACCTCTTTGTGTTTGTTAGATGAGAATTCAAAATGTATCACTAGCATGTGGTCACTTACGACAGAAATGCCTTTAAATTTGCTTCTTTGGGGCGTACAGTCATACAAACAGGCATCTGTAATCATTATGTTGCCATGCTATCAGCCTGGTATCCATGATGACCACCATGGCAACGGTTGTTGAGAGCAGAAAATTCTGATTTCTGCACACCCACGTGGTACAAATGGAAAAAAGGGCTGCCCACTGAGGGAGATCTACAGTACCAAATGCATGTTATACAACACTTTCTGATCGGTCGTTCAGAGGCAGCAGCACTGTGCAAACCTGACTGAGGCCTTTGCATGTGGGTTTGAATGTTCTCTCTTTATTTGCGTGGGTTCGCCTCAAGTGCTCAAGTTTCCAGTCAAACTAAAATCTGCATGTTTAGGACTGTGGATAGTTTGCTCGCTGACCTTTGTGTAAACGCTCTCTCTTTGTTTTTCAAAAGTGCTGCAATTCAGAACCACAGCAAAGGATTTTAATGTTAGTTTGCTTATTTTGCAGTAACACTGGCCACTACGAGGAGTGGTGAAATGCCATTACAACACCAGACATGTACAGTACATTTTCCACAAATGTGACCACTGATCTGGAGGGAAACCTTCAAAACTTAATTTGGAAAGCTATCCTATCAAACTTAACTCAGTTTATGGTAAAAAAAAAAAAAAAATACTCATAAACTCATAAAGTTTATTTAACTTTAGCTCCTCCTGGGTGTCTTAAAATTTTATTGTTCATTTTAAATATTGATTTGTTA